ACCTTATGTGCTTGATTGTGTTTTTAAACTTATTTATTTTTAATTTTAGACTAAAAAATAATGATTTTTTAATGAATATGTTGTGTAATGTATTGAATCAAAATGTGTATCAATTACTATCCAAGTTAGAAAGTTTAATGTTTAATAATTAAAGTGATTAATTACTTTGTTCTTTAAAAATGAAGAGTGGGGAGAGGGGAGAGGGGGGAGGGGGGGCACAAATTTTAATCAAGGACGTAATCCAATCTGCTAATAACAAAAAGGATGCTCTCGTCACCACACCACCATTTTAATTGCTTTTAACTAAAAGTAATTAAAAATTTTCTAAACCACCTCTAATACATTGTAATTAATTTCCGAGGCTTTGGTTTTCTTTCGGATTTTTTTTTATTCTTAACATGCAAATATAATTAATAGTTTCCAACGAGCGTTGGTGTAGTTGGTGAGAGGTTTACTTCCACATTATTCATTTGAGGAGAGGTTGATTAAAAGGTATTTTTTCATGAATATCTCAGTACGTCTTATGGTCCCAACATGATTATTTGTTTTTAACCAAACCAAAGAAAGGGACTTAATTAATTAGCATGGTGTGAGAAACCTAACCTACAATGCCACCTAATAAACTAATCAATGGCCAAACTATGTATGTTACGGTGCAATGGATATTATCCGCACATATCACTTTTAATAGACCATATATGCTCTTAATATATATTAATCATTGTCTGTAAGTTAAATAATTTAGTGGTAATATTATTTTATTAATAAAAAAATAATATTTTGGTATAAAAAATTTTACTACTCATAAATAATACTAACGACTTATTGGTAACAATTTAAATAATTCAGTAGTCATCTCCTTTTATTAGAAATAAGAAATCCTGAGTTTGAATCGTATAATATGCGGGTGGAGTAGAACAAAGAATGAAATATGGTTGCCTTCTACATATTGTGCAATCAAGATAAAAAAAAAAACCCTAACGATCCAAATGAAAGGAATTTAATGATCTCAAGCTTAAGCTTTGTAAATAGAGAAACAAATGTTATGAAAGTTTCTCATTTTATAAGGTTTGACATAATTTGATTTCAAATTAATTAAGATCTAATATGATTTTTTGATACTGAGAGGTTATAACCAATGTTTTCAAAACCGGACCGGTCATTGAACCGTTTTCAAGTCCGGTTTTTGGTTTGATCGGTTTAACTGGTTGAACCGATGAACCGACCGGTTCAAACAATAAGAAAGGTTTGATGAGAGGAGCAAGCTATAGGCATGGATTTTTTTATTTGGTGTTGATAATTTTGTAATGGTTAAATACTCATTTTGGTCCCTCAACTTTAGTGGTTTGCACATTTTTGGTCCCTTGAGAATTTTTTGCACTTTTTTTATCCCTCAACTATACGAAATGCACT